TTGAGGAAAAAGCAACCATATTAAGGGGGAACTCCCTCTCCGAAAGTCGATTTTCCTTGAAAAACCCGATTTTTGAAAAAACACATATTCTAGTAGCCCTGAGTGTCCTCTTTCAGAATATGTATAAATTATATAAGAACAGAACATATTTTTGCCAAATTTTGGGGTATCTATTGGAAATCATAGTGGGAAATCGACTGTTGTGTTGATCTTTTTTCCTTAGTTACCGGTAATTGATATCATTCCATCTTCTTTATCAGCAGTATAAAACCATCGACGTATCAAGTAATTATGTTCTGACTGTTGCAGTCAGAGAAAGAAGCTTCAAAGTTAGGTTATTTTTCGTAAAGGTGAGGCCACAGTAAGCTTAGATTTAGAAATTAGCTTAATTTTTTCTTGAAAACATCATCAACTGCAAGAGCTTTTTACATACTTTTCAATGATATATAACATTCTCTAATTTCCTACACAGAAACATTATCAACTACTTCGCAATATTATTATTCGTTTTTCTCAGCTTCACTATTTTATCGTTTACTGATCACTGCGGAACATTTTTCCAGTCCACTGTTTGACGTACACTGCTAATATTTTTTCTATTCAAAAGATGAGACTTTTCTCTAGAAATTGTAGGGACAGATTTTTAAAATATGTATCCATTGTTCAGATATATGAAAATCTTTGAAAGAGCTCAAAACAGTTTTCGCGATTCTCAGTTTGAAATGGTCACTACAGTTCAATGAAAATGAATTTCAAAAAACTGTTCCTATAATTCCTAGATAAAAGATTTTCCTTCATTTTGGAACAAAGTTCAACATTTATCATGCTGTGGGGCATCGAGAAAATGTTCCGTGCCAGAAGCCCCGTTTTTAGGAGTAAATTGAGTATAACTCATTAATTATCAAAAATTATTGATTCAAATTTTTATCAAATGCTATTTACATTAGTTGTTCTATTTCCTGAAATTTTCATCGAAATCTGTTGTACCGTTTAGAAGATAGATTTCGGAGTGGGGTTCCCCTTAAAAGAAAAAAAAACACATGAGATGACGTGTCATAAAACATGAGTTTAGAAGCATAAGAATTCACCCTATTACTTTTATTTATGTATCGAGAATCAAATTTTTAAACTGATTTCTTTGGCAAAAAAAAAATTGTCTTTCGGTTCTATAATCTTTTCAGAAATGGATTTGTCACGACGTTATCCATCAACTTATTTTGTTTTATTAATACTTCCATATTTATATATTATATATTTGTATTTATTAAAATCATCATCATCATCATCATCATCATTCAACAATTTCATGCAAATAAAACCATCATCTCATCGACTAAAATCAACTCATACTGGACGAATTTTAGTTATTTATATTTGGGCTGATACAGATGTACAGGCAGTTGGCAATCTTGAGTTTTTTATTCGTTATGGTGTTCATTCATCACAGCCAGCTGATTATTATTTTGTTCTACAAAAAGTCAATAAAAAGCCAGTTAATGAATCACGTTTACCATCACTTCCATCCAATGCACATTATATTCAACATGAAAATGAATGTTTTGATTTTGGTACAGTTGGATGGTTTTTATCAAGTAAAATTGTTGATATAACTTTATATAAATATTTTATCTTTATGAATGCATCAATACGTGGACCATTTTTTGCTGCTTATTTTGATCATGAACTCATGTGGTGGTTTACAGTATTTATTCAACGTTTAAATGATGAAGTAAAACTTGTTGGTTCAACACTTAGTTGTCAAATTAAACCACATATACAAAGTTATTTGTTAGTCACTGATGAAATTGGTTTATCTATATTAACTGATGAAAAAAGTGGAGTATTTAATTGTAAAAAAGATTATAATGATGCTGTTGTAAATGGTGAAATAGGTGCAAGTCAACTTATTCTTCTTGCTAATTATCAAATAGCATCATTACAAACAAAATATCAAGGTTGGGATTTTCGTAAAAAAGAACATTGGGATTGTAATAATCGAGTTAGTCCGATATTTATAGATAACTCTATTGATGGGATTACACATGATCCTTATGAACTTGTATTTGTTAAATATAAAGGTTTGCCACCATTTGATAGCGATCTTGAACGACGTGCATTAGTCTATCAAAAATGGCTAGAAGGACAACGTACTAAACAAAAATTTTGACGTTTTCATGGATAATTTAACTGTTAGATAATCTTTATTTATGAAAAATGTGAAATTTTTATTGATTGTTCGTTTTTGAATGATTTACAACAAGCAATATGTAGGATACTAAATAACATATTTTTACAGTTTTATGTGTCGTTTTCATATTTCATAAATTTGTCAACATATTGCATTAAAGATTTATTTTTTATTATTTGCGTCTCAACAATCACTATATCATTATTAATGTTGTCACAGCCATTTTCTACACAATATTTCATTTGACTGTTTGTGCATGACAAGTCAATGATAAATATGAGTTCTTATCTAATGCTTATCAGTTTCAAGTTAAATAATATTACGAACTAAAATGAAAACTAAAGTATCGCATTAATAAAACCATGTTTTACATCTTACAAACTATTGTTTAGAATTTTTCTAAATTGAGTCATCACTATATAAAATTTATTTGTTTTAAAATCGAACATCAAATATCACTTCGTCAACATTTATCTTCCTATACTATCGATTAAACATTTGCATATTAACTATCATTATGATTGCTCGTCTTCAATTGAACAAATTTGTAATAATTGCACAATTTATTTAAACCTTGTTTTGTATTAGTACTTCTTGATTTACGTGCATCACATTATTTTCTCTATTCTTCTTTTCTCACAGCAAAGTATCACTCAAAAATTTGTTCACATCATGATCAACTATCAATCACTCATACACGGGAAGGATTCGTGAACCCATGAGTAAAGAAATCTGAGTTTACTATTGAAAATAGTACAGTCAATAGTATGTGAAATCGAAATATTTCTATTCTTTAGAAGTCTTAAATATTTCAGACATGTGAAACCTTTCTTTGAGTGGTCAATTCGAAAATATAAGTAACAGAAGGTGGTAGAATTGATATTTAAAAAATTGTGAATCAGTAGAAAATATTCTTCAGATTAGATATTAATCGATAGAATTTGAAATACTATTTCAATATATGATTTTCATACAAATATCGATGCCTACGATCTAAGATAATACTTTCACTAATCATCTGTATTTTTTATGAAATTCTGTAACTTACAGTACTTTTAGTTTTTTATTCGATGTAATTGTGCTTGTTAAGAAAGACCTAATATGTTAGAAGCTTGTTGAAAATTGAATAACTTTTGTATAGAACGCTTATTCATATGTCACTTTATTTCGAGCTGAAATACTATGTATATTCTCAGGTTCTTAAATAAAAAAAAAATTTCAGTTTTTGAAATTTTGTAATAATTGATATTTTTTGAATAGCTTAGTTGTAGTTGAAGAAAAATCAATGAAATATTTACTTATAGTAAATCTAAATTTTCTCTATGTATGATAAAAATTCCAAAGAGTTTACTTTTATCATTAGGAGGGATACAAATGTCGTAATGCAAGTAAATGAAATTTCGTAATGCTTGATCATTCTGTTAGATCATATCGGATACATGTTCTGATAATGAATTTCCTTTGAAAAATAGACTCCTTTACTAGATTATTTACCAGAAACTTATGGATTTTTTTTCCAAATAAAGAATTATATTGAATACTATTTCCTTCAATATAGCTGTTCATACTTGGAATCGAATCGATCGGTTTGTCAGTTACCGATCCAGGTCGGTCTTCGCCGGTTTTTTTATTGATTTTTTTGGGGCACTACAGTTGACCTCTTTTACTCATTTTTAACAATTTCCATGGTTTTCATGATCAAGAGATATGAGGTTGGAAGTTTCCAACTGACAAATTTTCTGTCGTTGTGAAAATCATAGCTCTAAATATTGAGCTAACACTTTCTCATCGTAAGATGAAAGTCTTGGATCATGCGGAATGAATTTATTATGCTGACGAAAAGTTAATCAGATATTAGAAGTCAGTTTCGATCTAAAGTAAAGATTTTTCATCTCGAAATTTCAAGTTCATTTTTTTGGACCACTTTTAACCCACACTCATAAAATTCCGATAGCCTGTATTTTTCATTTCATGCTTTCATTACAAAATATTATAAAAGATTCCATTCTATTGCCAAGAACTTGTCAATTACTAGTACCATGCAACTAGGAAACTATTTATTGCGCCTCAATTGATTAACTGATATATCAAACGCATCGATTGTTCACCAGTTAAGTCAAGAATTTCAAGCAGTCGATCCGATCCAGTTGAAAAAACATCTGACCGGTTCCGACTATGCAGCTGTTAGTTTGTCATGTAGAATTCTCTTGAAATCATTCACAATATTTAATATGACTCCATTTATATAATACTCAATAAGAAATTTAACTCTGATCTATCGCATCTATTAGCGAGTGCACAATATCTACAGAAAATAAGAACAACATATATTCAGAAAAAAAACCTTTAGATTATTTTGTTTGTTGAGCAACTATATTTTTGTGTTTTCGTTATATATCCAAAGAAAGCACTAAAAATGAAGCAAAAATGTCTTTTTTTTTCTCTTTTTCGTCCAAGTACAATATAACACATAAAGCAAACAAAATATAAATAAAAAGAACACTTTTTCTTGTTTTAATTAAATTTTTTTTTCTATATTGCATAATGACAAATAACAGAAAAAGAAAAAAGCGACTATAGCGCAAACGAGATTAAGAATGATGTATATAAATTTTATAATCATTTAAACAGAAAAAAAAAAAGGAAATAATTTTATACAACAAAAGAAAAAGATCACAAATGACACATACATGTTGCTGCTAGGTTGTTATTATTGATAATTATTACGAATAAATAAGCAAAAAAAAAAAGAATCAAAGAAAAAAAGAAATCACAAATAAGCAGCAAAAAAGAAAGAAAAGGAAACTAAATTTTAACTTTCGTTGGAAAATGTTGACTCGTGTGTATTTGATATACTAGTAGGAGAAGAAGATGAAGAAGAATTTGATAACCATCGTGTCTTGTGATCATTAAGACCGAAACCAGCTGAATAATTTCCTTTTATAGCAAATAATTGAAGAAAATGGGGTTTACAATAAATTTGTCCATCGTTAGCTGTATAATTGCCAAGTCTAAAAATAAAAACAAATCATCATTGATTACAAATACTTTTCAAAAAAAAACAAAAAAGAAATTATCCGAAACATTCAAAAATAAAACGACATGCTCTTTGATCACACGGCAAAGGGAGGTATAAAAAGAAAAAACACACGCCTACGATTGATTGTTGATAAATGGACTTTTATTATTATTATTATTTTCCTCTAAAACAATACAGAAAAATGTAGATTGTTCTATTTCAATACTCACTTCAATATCGATTTGCAATGCATACATTTAAAACATGATTTGTGATAAATTTTTTTGTCTGCTTCAATCTTAAGAAAAAAAAAGGAAATGTATTCAAATGATTAACACAAAAAAAGAAATAATAATAATAATAATAATAATAATAATAATAATATATTTAAATACTTTTTCCATTGCATAAACTGTTTTATTGCATACAGAACATTTATTTGAATCAACAGCTGGTTCAACATTGGTTTGTTTCGGTGCAGGTTTATCCTAAAAGATTTTCTTTTTCTTTCAAGTTCTCTTTCATATTTTATATAAAAATAAAAACATACAACAAATCGTTTTGGTGTATGTTTAACTTTAGATGACGCTGTTTCAACTTTAAGTGCATCTTTTTCAAGTTCAACAAAACGATTTTTTAATGATTGAGCTTGGCCTTTAGTTGGTACAATTTCTTCACTATCATTATATTGTTCTCTTATACCACTTGAACTATCTCCTGTATCCGCTGTTGGTGATGCTGATTTTCTAATAAGAATTCGAATGAAAATTATTTTTATTTTTTATTGCAAAAATTTTTCTACCTTTGAACACCTTCTGGTGGTGGTGTGATTTGTTTCAATGTTTTTCTTGTACCTGAACTACTTTGTTCGGCACTTTGCATGAGTCTTCAAAAAAGCAAAATATAATAATTATTATTTATTTGTTATTATTATTATTATTATGTTTTATATCAAATAGAAAAGAAAAAATAAAGCTAAGCAATGGAATTAAGTGTAAAGATACGAGCAGCTACCTACTCATTATTATTAGTATTCTTATTCCATAAGTCATGAATAATAGAGACAAGATTATCAACACCAAGATATTCTTCGTCACTATATAATAACATGCAATTGTAGTTAATAAAAAGACTATAAGGATGCAAACATACACAAAAATAAACTAAAATTTATACCTTTCTCGAGCAGCTTTGGCATGACCTGATTCAATATTAGCTTTATCATCTGCATAGCCTGGTTTCCGAGAAGCCGTTTCATCCTGTATATATATGTATGTATATTAAAAATATAGTAATAATTAGATAATATGTAATATTACATCTTCAGCAGGTGGTAAACGTCGTTCGTTGTCAGCTGGTGGCGTAATTGCACGTGGTCCACGTCGTTCAGGAGGTGGTGAGTTCTCTTTATCCATTGTTTTCCACAATTCAACAAGATTTTTTGCTTTACCTATGATATAAAATATATGATTAAGACCTTTTTTTTTTCTCTCTTTCTCGTCTAGTAGGCGTATACAAAAATAGAATAATAATAACTTTATCTGATTACACACCTTGTTGAAGTATTTCAGCGTCCTGTATAACTTGAGCGTCAGGTGTATCTCGATCTGGTGAAGCTTGTTTTGTTTTCCACTGTTCGACAAGCTGTTTTGTTTGACCCTTTTCAAAATAGACTTCGTCACGTTTATCACTTTCACGTACAACGTTCCCGTTCTCCTATATATATATATATATAAATATATAGAAAAATGGCATATGAAATTAAAGAGAATAGAGAAGAAAAAAAAAAGATTCCGACAGAAAGAAAGAGAGAAAGAAAGTGAATCAAACACACCATACTACTATTTGGTAAGAACACGTTTTAATAATAAAGAAGAGAATGAGAAAGAAAGAAAAAATATAATCAATCCATATGTTTGTTAGTAAATGAAAAGAAAATGAAATCAATATAGATAAATATTTTTTGGTAAACAAATAATAGCGTTTGACTACTCACAGTTTTCATGTATTTGCTTTTGTGACTTCTGAATGACATCCGTGTTTCTTTTTCTCTTCCGATATGTGTATGTATGTATATGTGTGTATGTGCTCAATCGAATGTCTCTCTTCAGTAGTAGTCAGTCATTGCATTTCTTCCTTTTAAACGACAGAGAACGGACAATAAATTCTTTGCACTCAATCGTTTTTTTTTTTTTTACTCTACTTCGATAAAGAGAAGAACAAGAAAAAAAGGATAGAGAATGGATATATGAATGGACACATGCATTCGCCTGCTGATGATCGAAGGTTACTCACGTTTTTTCGTTTTTCTCTTATGCAACTATGCTCTCTTCTTCTATCTACCTAGTTCAATGATCGAATACAATATGTATAATGCGTATCAATCACTTTATAGCTCTGTAAGTTGACTTTACCAATAAAGCAATCCGTCTATCATATATATATATATATATATATATGAGTCGCATAGACGAATAGTATATCTATAATTTTTTTTTCTTCGCTATGATTTTTGCTCTTTTTATTTGAATACAAAAAAAAAGGCAACTTATATGTAAAGCACTTATCATTTATACCCAATGAACAAACAAGCAAAACTCTTCGAATGTTTTACTTGTCAATAAAAGATACTATTTACATGGCAGACGGACAAATAGTCGTTGTTAGAGAACGACAATAAACTAATATATAAACTCATAAAACAGATTCCAATAATCATACTATTGTTTTTGTTATCTTACACTATTTATTATATACTACGGTGCACACGTACACAAACATACAAATGTGTTTTCTCTTATAAAACTATTGAGATATAATACATTTTGTGCATAGTATTATGAAAGAATATTAGTATATTTTAAAAAAAGGAGAAAAAAATTAATTTTTTATTTGAGATCAGTGTTTATATTATTTTAGCAATGCATTGCAAAAATGAGGAAAAGAAAAGTGCATTTGAAAATAGAAAAAAAAGAAAATAATATAAAAATAAGATAAAGACAAAAATAATCATAGATTAAGCATTAATCTACTTTTAGCAGTATACCAGACACACACACAAATACATAGCAAATGCACACATTTGAAGATAATAACACGTATATGAATAGGTGTTCACACAAGTTCAAAAATGAATTATTTGAACAAAAATATAAAATGAAAAAAAAATAAATACACATATATATTTCGGAAATATACACATTTAGTGTACCTCACCGGAGCTAGTGGAAACACCACTTTTGTTCGTATCCGTTGATTTTATCTTCAGTCTTACACTCATGTTGACAAGCGTGTCAGAAAATTCGACACGCTAAAAAGAAACAAGAGAGGAAATTGTCATATATATGTGTGTGTGTCGGTATATATACGCAAATTAATTCTTAGTATCTAGGTGTTTTTTTTTGCAAGCAATCCCATCTATGTTAGTAATTTTTGTGTTTAAAGAATTAATAAGAAAAAAAAAAACGTCCCATTGATTAAAAATTAAAACCTACGATTGGTTGAGTTTTTCTTCTCAAATTCGAACCATTTAAAGGTTGGCACACATTTACGTGCCATCGAAACTCCTTTTATTTTTATGAAGAAAAGAAAAATAAATATTTTCTCAATTTCGGTAAGTCAAATAAAAACTATTTGAAAAAAAAACAAACAAACTTACATCAACACGTATTTTTGAATCACCACCAGCACCTGTTGATTGTGTACCACTTTCTAAATTTTTAAACATAGCTACACGTTCTTTAGCGACACCACTTTCAAGAAGTTCATTATCAATTTCTACTGTTCGTTTGACCTAATAGAAAAAAAAAATTTAGAATTAAATATTTATCTAATTATAATTATTTACTGGAGTAGTTTCATCGGGATTTTCAAATGCTGTAGCACGACTTTTAGCTAAACCACTTTCAACAGATATAGGTTGAGCTGTTGATATTATTGGTTTACTTGTATCGGCCATATACTGTTCTTTAATTGTACTTGTTGAACCACTTGTTACATCAAAATGTTTTTCTGTTGATTTAAATTCAGTATTAGCTAATGATGCTAATTGTTCACGTCGTGCTGTTGCGAATCCACTTTCTGTTTCCATATCAAGATGTCGATCACCTGAACGTTGTGTTTGTTGTTCAGCTTCAATTTTCGATAATAATTCTGAACGTTTTGATTGTGCATTACCTGTTTCAACCATAGTTGATATTTCATCAAGACGTGTTGGTGTTATTGGACGATCAGATATTTGACCACTTTCAAATTTTGCTTTCCTATCTGTTGCTGCACCAACAAGAAGATCAGCATCAGCTTGTACACGATTTGAACCAAGTTCATGATAATCTTGATCAAGTTCACCTTTTTCAAACATAGCTTTTTTTTCTGTTGCTGCACCAACCATTGCATCACGATCAATAGTAACTGTTTTTGGTAAATTTGCATCATTCTCAATTTGTTGTTGAAATGCTTGTTTTTTTGCTGATGTTAAACCAGCAACAAGATCTTTATCAATTTGTACTTTATTAACACGTGATTCCACTTCTTGTTCGAATTCACCTTGTTCAAATGCATGTTTTTTTGATGATGCTACACCAGCAACCAGATCTTTATCAATTTGTACTTTATTATTACGTGATTCCACTTCTTGTTCGAATTCACCTTGTTCAAATGCATGTTTTTTTGATGATGCTACACCAGCAACCAGATCGGTATCAATTTGTACTTTATTAATACGTGATTCAACTTCTTGTTCAAATTCACCTTGTTCAAATGCTTGTTTTTTTGATGATGCTAAACCACTTTGTACACGAACATCTAAACGTTTTTCTTCACGTGGTTTATCACTATCAACTAAACCTTTTTCAAATTTATCTTTAACTTCTGCCATTTCATGATAAGGAATCTAAATAATAATAATAATAATATTCAAAAAAAAAAGAAAATCTTAAATATAAATAATATTATTTTCATACATGTTCTCTTTGTGGTTTCTTTTTTCGTGTTGATCGAACAACACCATCAGATTCTGATGGTTGAGTATCATCTTCATCTTCCTCTTCTTCTTCATTTTGAAGACCGTTTGAAGAACCAATATCTTCAAACCTATTTAATGAAATTAGATTATTTTTATCAAATAAACTAATATTAATAATTAGTTTAATAATTATAATACTTATCATCAAAAGAAAAATGATGACAAGAGTTGTATAAATTTTCCATATATATTCATCGAATTCAGTATAGATCGTAAGAATTATATTTACTATTTCTACTATTGGAGAAATTTGAAAATAATATATGATCATAATATAAATAATCATTGTAGCTATCGTGATTAGTACAAGACATGCGTTCATATTGATTGTTTTTCTCATTGAATATTTTTCGAATATATGTAAAAAAAATCATGAATTGAAAGTATTACTATTATTGTAGTTTTCGCTTTCGTTCTCTTCAATAAACACCTCTATTTTTACTTTTTTTTGTCAAGATATTTTCGGCATTTTCTACTCAAGTCTTTTTTTTCTTCTTATAACAACAAAAAGAGAAAAAGAAAATAATGTCATCTATCTATTTGACATTTAGTTGTAAAAAAAACTATATATTTATATATCGTGGTTTGTATTAAGATTAATGTTTCATCAATAGTTAAAAAGCTACTTACACTATCATTGATGAAGCCATTTAAAATGCTAGATTTGTTGAAAATCTACTGCTGTTCTTCTTCGTCGATATTTATTGATGTGGAACGATAAACTACTCTTTCCTTTCTTTTTTACTCGTGTAATTCAACGAAATGGATGACTGCTTACCAAATTTCTTTCATTTGTTTTTTTTTCTTTTTTTTGGGTATCTATTTTTTATCTTTTTTCTTTTCTTTCTAACCTCACATAGACACTCAAAACGTGTACGATACAATAAGAAACTCGATCATTCTGATGACTTCCTTTTCCAATTAATTTAACTAATCAACCACAACAAAAATAAATAATAATTACTTCTGAAATCTATTTTTGATTTTGTCACCTGGTGCTAATTTTTCAACTTTTTGCAATTTTTGTGTTTCATCATCTTCATTTTTACCACCAAACATTTTTGTTATATTACGTAGACGTTCCAATGTATCATCAGAACCTCCACTGGTATCGATTGCTGTCAATAGAAAGAGAAAACAAAAAAAAACAAGATACAAGTTATATCCTCAAGTAAAAGATTTATATAGATAAATTCTATTTAATTGGACAGTGTAGTGAAATTCCTTTTTTCTTCTTTCTATAAACACTAATCTAAAGAAACCTTACAATTTGTTAAGTTTTCGACGTAAAAAAAAATAAAGTCAAGTGCGTAAAAGAAAAAAAAAGCTTCCTTAAATAGTCAATACATACACGTATCTTCATTTGAATCTGCCATTGTTCACTTGATTCGATGAAGTAGGTGCTCAAATGTAGCACACTTAAATATTTGTTTTATTTTTTCGTCTTTTTCTTTAATTTGCACCCACCCGTACTTTGGATAAAGTGTTTATAAGTAAGAGGAAGCTGCTAGAAATAATATAAATATCTTCTGCCTCGTTCTTTGACGACAATACTAGTAAGAACTGTACATATGTGTTATCCCAGATATTTTATGTGCTGTTTGCCCCCGCTTTTCTCTATCTTTTTCTATTGCTACGTTTTTTTTCCTCGTTCGGCTTCATCCTACGCAAAATATATATATGAAAATACAAAAAAGAAATGTTCCCGCTGCGCAAATTGTACAGATAAACAACGAGTGTCAGAAGAAATTGTTGGATATACTAAAGAGAAGAGAGAAAAAAAAATAGCATAATAGAAACGTAATATGCTGTAGTGATTATTTCTTCGTTCTTTTCTTATGAGATCATTCCGCTGTAGAAACTGTACAAGAAAAAAAAGAGGTCATCAACAAAGTGTATATACATATATACAGTGATGCACATAGATTAATTGGATGAGTCGTTTTCCCTATCTGTGAAATATCTGTCAGAAGGCAAAGAAAGAACAAAAAAATCTACTATGTCACAATACAATAACGAAGAGAAACGATCTATTTTTGTTTTACCTCATGCCTAGAACAGTTGTCAACTGACAGAATTTTCTCGCATAATCAATTATACAACTGACAGATAGACACCCACGTTAGAAAATTCAGAAAGCTTTACAGAAATTGCGTAGATATATGTAGACTCTTTAAACTAACAATAGAGTAAACATATGTGTAAGTCTTTTTTCCCGGATTTAACTAATTTGATATTCAATATAAAATCAATCGAATAGGTTTCTATGTATATTTAAAGGTTCATCTTTATTCTCTAATTTGTTTGTCTAAATCATTGAATTATAATATTATGAAACCATAAAAATTTTAAGAACTATGCATAACTGTTGATATTATTTATTTCATATTACATTCTTCTTATTTGTGTATATATATGAACGATCAACGAATCTTATTGATCATATTTTATTTCGATAATTTTATCGATTAAATCAATAATTAATAATAAATACGTTCGTACGCGACCTTTACTTACGAATAAAATCTATTATGTTAAATTTTATTTTAACCGAGTTAATCCCAATGATCAATGAATAGATATTAATCGAACTTACTTCCGTTCATTGTTGACCAATTTATAGAACAAATCTCTTTATGACGTCGTTTTTTATTTATATGTTGTTGATCACGAAATAGTGAACATGTTTGTGAAAATGAATTTTCATCCATTGATGTATTTTGTTCATCAATATCACTTAATGTTGAAAGATTATCATTAGTTGTTGTATCACCATCACAATGTCCATTAGCACTTATTGATAATGATGACGATGATGATGATGTACTATGTTTATGTTTTTGTTGTTGACGAATTATTGATATAGCTGCTCGACGTTCTTCTTCACTAGCAGCTTCAGATATTGGATCAAGAAAATGATAAGAAGAATATACTTGTTGATCTTGTAATGAGGATGATGATGATAATGAGGATGATGGAATAACAAAATTTGATGATGTCACATGAGGTAAAGGATGTATATACCTACGAAAACCCTCATTTTCATCATCATAATCATCATCAATATCATTTAATTCATTAGAAAATCGACATAAAACACCATCATCTGGATCAGAAAAAAGTAAATTAACTTCATCTTGATCAATATGAATTTCATCAAGATCATCATCAATATCATCATCATCATCGTCATCATTTGAAAATGATAAAGTACTAAGAAGACCATGAGATGTTAATTTATGAACAATAGTTTTTGTTGAATTTAATTGACGTTGTTGTTGATCAATACTGATTGAATCGACTAAAGATGATGATGATGATAAAAATGATTCATCATCATCATCATCATTATTATCTGGTATTATATGATGTTTAAATAATCTTTGTTCTAAACTATCCGGTGAAAGACTACGTTCACGTTGTTGGTGTTGGTGCTGTTGTTGTTCTATAGGCATCATCTCTTCATCAAGAACGGTAGCACCATCATGATAAGGCAACATGAGGCCAGATGGTAATGTGAACTGTAGAAATTTGAACATCAATCAACAGGAGAATCAACTGTGATGATATTGTAGAATGTGTTAGGAATAAAATACCAACTTTTGATTCTCTTATTCGTTTATGTTCGTAATCGTATTGTAAATGAATGTGAGAAAAGGAAAAGTAAAAAAAAAAGAATGAACAAACAGGTAGTGGTTGGTTGAAGTGATGATGAACAATGGAATACAGAAGACAAGAAATAACGTTACTTCATTTTCTTCTCTTTTTTCTTATCGATTCGTCTCTGTTCTCCTCCTTTTTTTTGTAATCGCAGCAACGTTCGACCGAGCATATATACACACACACACATATACAAACACAAGCAGTTCTTAACCGCAGGCTTTATCGATAAATTCGTTTTTACTTCTTTTCTCTTTCACAACGACACAAGTAGTATATGTACAGATTGATATAGACATGAAATGTGCAAAAAAAAAAGTCCGACGAACAAGAGAGCTTTTCGCATCAGTGTTGCCTGAAGATAATAAACAAAAATCGTTAGAGATTTTTCTTTTTCAATTTATTTGTAAAGTATACAATGAACAGATTATCGTTTTCAATTTTGATACAAGGTCTCGATGATTTTCTTTTTCCTTAACATAAAATATCGATTATAATACCATTGACGTCTCATAGTTAAATAAACAAAGAATAGTATACATCATGAAATCAGTCTAGATGAATTGTGAGAATGAACGTCAAGTGCTTAACATTGAAAAAAAAGCCATTCATCCAATTTGTAAAATACACAGAACGAACGTTTACCTATACGATTTATATTATATCCTATATATATATATATATAAATAGATGTCTGTCTGTTGATTCTATTGAAACGATTCTTTAGGATATGTTTTGCTTTTTATAGAAAAAGATTCTATTTTTATAAATTAGATTTTTAACTTACCTTGTCGATTATTTCTTCCATTATGATTATGATTATGATTATGACTATGATTATTATTTTGAAAAACTAATATTGTATGCATAATACAGAGATGAATAAATGTAGCAGAAAACCATTCATGTATAAGAGTCCAAAGAAGACGCCAGACATTATTTGTATTATTATTGACCATTGTTGTCGTTGTTTTATCATATAGTAGACTAAAACAAAAACAAAAAAAAAGAAAATGATTGTTCAATGTTATTGACTAAAGTGATTATTCGGTCAGTGAACTTTTGTCTCTTTTAATCGATCCAACACTAGTAATTGCATGATAGTATGATCAAACCAAATTTATGAAATATACGAAAGAAATCATATTAAACATTGACATAAATATGTCGCGCATCAATGAATTTTTACATCTTATTTGTAATTAACAATCATTTTTTTTTATGAACGAATTTTTATAGTAATTGATTTCTTGATCAAATTTCAATAAATCATAAAATTATTCGGTAATCGATTCAATTTATTTTTGTTTTTGGCATTAGAAAAGTCATGTATTATTCGTATTTAAATATGACAAATAATCTTCTTATCACATAACACTTTTAAATAGGCTATTATGAATTTTAATATTAGAGATTTATTTAAATCTCTTGTTTTTTTGTCTATTGTTGATCATTGTTAAGTCAAACGACATGAAAATTAATTAAATTTGTCAAAGTTCATAAGATATTTTTCTTTTTATTGTTGTTATAGTCATTAGTAAGAAAAACAATCGATAGAAATTTAGAGTCACTAAAAAATGTCAAAGACAAATTGAAGAAACCTAAAAAAGTATGCCTTTTTTTGATTTATGATATTGACATTTGTTATTTGAATGCATTTCAAGCTTCATTATTTCATGTAATTGCTTATTGATGCTCTTTATATAAAGAAAGACATAAGCTAAAGTAAATATTAAAGTCAAAAAAATTACTTTTTTTTGTTAAGTTTTCAACAACATATGATAAACTATGTATTGGCAAGCATTATCTATAGAAAGATTTGTCTTGATTATTAAAGATTGTCACAAATTAGGTTTTTTCTTATTGCTTAAAATTTTTTTTCATTTTATATGAATATTTCTATGTGGTTGAAAAATAAATATTGTAAACCGATACCGACATAAAATATGTCTCAAATGTAAATGTTTATCAACTTGATGTTACCGCATGATTTTTATTGTAAATTATTTGTTTTATTCTTTTTACCTTAAATATAATAGAAATACTAGTAAGGAGATTTTTGTTGTATACTTTAGTATTAGTTATGATAAAATATTCGAGATGTCCATCGTGATTGAAAAATTATTGTTGCTACCATGATGGTATTCAAAAAGATGTGTAGAATTCCATTGCTGTGACTGTAATGAACTACGTAGAATTGTTGTTATAAATTCATCAGATTCATCGAACCTCAGTGTTACATTTATAAACACTGAAATTCCGTGCAAATTCATGTGGTTTTGAAATATTCTTCAAACAGAAGCTGCCGCCATCACTACAATGGCGGCAGCACTGTGATGGGAACCTCTGTTAAATGTATCTCTCCTTAAGCTGGAATTTATGTCAAATTTTATCAAAGCTTCTATTGTCATTCATCTTTTGTTTATCATTCTACACTTTTATTTTTTTTTGTTATAGATTTATTCAACTGCAAATTCGTCAATGAACTCTGGAAAAAAATAGTTAGGCTTAATACTTTTAACATATCATCGCTATAAATTAATTTTCTTAAAAAAATTAATTATATATTCCAATAGCGCACGGAGTTCTCTACAATCATATATAAGTATGTGTTGAATTACACTTGTTCGCTAAAATGGAAATTCAAGCACAGTGAAAGTACCCTCATCATCAGATTTTCTGGGAATACATTTTTTTGTTCCTTTTCCATTCATTTTTTCAAATTGATTTTAATATAGGAACAAGCTGTTACAAACATGAGTATATATTCTGAAAGCACGTGAAACTTCCTATCATTTTATACTTTGGCCAGTCTTGACTTTCAATTATTTGATGACAAATATTTCGAGAATTGTTAGTGCATCCTCGACGACTCCACATAACTTATACAACAACTCACGAATGGTTATCTAGGAGTTAAACAAGATGTATGGATAATTATTCACCTATTGGTCTTGATCTTAATATTATCGGAGTTTTTCGTCTTGTATGAACCAATATGTACAGACACATCGTCGAAATTCTCAAGAACACTTGACTGAGGAAATGTGATACGTGAGTATATTAACAATATTCGAAATATTTGTCATCAAATAATTGAGAGTTAAGAGTGTAAAAATACAAAATGGTAGAGAATTTCACGCACTTTCAGAATATATATTTATGTTTCTAATAGCGTGTTCTTATATTAAAATAAATTTGAAAAAAAATCAAATGAAAAAGGAACAGAAAATGAATTTTTGGAAAATCTGGTGATGAGGATGCTTTCACTATGCTTGAGTTTCTATTGTAGCGAACAAGTGTAATTCAAAATGTACTTATGTATGATTGTAGCAAATTCCACATGTTATCGGAATATATAATTACTTTTCTTAAGAATATTAATTTATAGCGATAATATGTTAAAAATATTTAGTCTAACTATTTCTTTTCCAGAGCAGGATAAATATTATTTTGAATAATAATTTTACTATTATATTAACAGCCAACAATAAACATAGAAATTAGGAATACTTATACCATGTATATTGGAAAAGACTTAGTTCGTCAAAGTCAATTCTTAGAAAGATATGATATGAATGAAATAATATAATGAAATATAAGTTCTTCAATCGAATTTTGAATAGTTCGTTGAACGACGACAATCTTATGTGAATTATCATTTGATATTGTTCGCTAAGAATATGAGCCTGTATGTCATATAAGAAAAAGAAAAGTAAAAAATTCTTTTCAAACTATTTGATTCATCGATAATATGGATGAATATTAATTTATAACACTCATCATTTGGTTTTCTTGAATATTAAAAAAATGACTAGAGAAAAGATTAACGTGACTATATCAAATAATAATAGTTGGCAAAGAATATAATGTATATAGCCATTGCTCAGAGAAACTTGACAAGTTTTGTTATAAATTTCATAAAGAAGAATAATTAAATGTATACCATTAATTGAAATTACAATAAGCACATGAGCTAATAATCAATGTACCACATTTAATTAGCTCTAGGTGTGAGAATTAAGACAAATTAAAATATAGTGACACATAATAAATAAAATATACAAGAATTTCAACGCAATTATGGTGGAACGATGAATGTGATGGATTTACTACTATCGGCGACCGTACCGACGATAAAAGCAATAAAATTATCAGTTGATGAAAACATCAAATAATTATTGATGACATCAATAAATACAGACTTATGGTCTAATGTATTCACATATATTTGATAGATATTTTTCGAAACAAATTATTTAGAAAAAATGAATTGATCTTCGTTAAATCAAACGTTGATGCATTGTTTCATATATTTGCGACAAAAAATGTTTCAGTACGAATTCCAAAAATAACTGTCTACGACAATCATATCTAGTAGGCGAAAAAAAAATCACATTGTGTTTTCATAATTTCTCAGAAAAACGACAACCATCAGAAATTTTCGCTGAAAATAAAATAACGCTAAAGTATGAATAAAATCATTTTTCTTCGATTTTCTATCGTTAACATATTCATATCCTAAGCAACTGGGAATGATTACTCCATTCGAGGCGGGAAACTTTAGTATGTCTCTTATTGTGGTGTAACTCGAAAGTTTTCATCAGATAGCCCGTGAAGAAAATTTCTATTTTGAGACTCATCTCTCTTTAGTCACTTGTTGACTACACCAATAGTCTCTTGTGTGACACTTCGATAAAAAAAAAAGGCAACCCTACAGACTATGCATCAACCATTTCAAATATTTTCTGAAACTACCATTCGTATTGTGCTCTCATTTATCTTTTTCTTTTCCTGAGATTAAATCCATTACTTCTATACGGTTTTATTGGGTCATTGA